TTAAAAAGAAATTTACAATGTAACTATTCGTAAGTTTATAATAAATTATTGTTTTATAAATCAAGTAATAATGATTCATTTAAATTATTATCAATCAAATTTAACAGTCATTGCTTCAATAATAAAATTTATAACATCCAATGAACCATCATTGGTTACTACAATGTCATACATTTTCTTATATTCTTCATTTATGGAATTATCCTTTGCATTATAGAAACCAATTGACAAGCAAGTATCATGATTGATTCCACTAGCCATTTGTAAGTCACCAATGGTATCACCTAATAGAATAATATTATTTCGATTCTTGATTTTAGTGTAATAGGGGTTGTCCTTGATATTAACTTTGCCTTTATTAAGTGCATGAATCAATGGCTCCTTGAAATGATCACATATTCCAGTTTCTTCATTAAATCCCATTTGATTGGAGACGATGTACATGTTAGCATGGAAAAGTCTCTTTGAGATGAGCAATGTGTACCAGATGGGCCAGTTGTTGTAAGAGTAAGAATGTGAAGGATTTGTTGTTGTTTGAGTGAGTTTTTGATATCTATCTATTACAGATTGTAAGTCTGTAAAAATATCGATTTTGCAATTATAAGGAGCTGTACTAATTGTTGATAGTATTGCGAGTAGTTCTGTTTTATAAGATGATAGCTAGTATTGAACTTGTGCAGTAAAAGAAATTGTTACAGAGTTGTTTTCAACTTGTATCCATCCAATACTCATAGAGTATTAGTTAGTCATCAAGTTGCAAACTGATCCATCTGTATAAAAAGTAAGATTTGTAAAATTAGAATTAGATATTGCAATATTATTTAAATAAAGAGATGAGCTATTTGAATTAAATATTTCAAGGACAGGATTATTATAAATAATGATGTTTGGAGTAGGGGGTATATAGAGTAGATATCTGTTTGCAGTTGCATAAATAAGATCTAGATAATTAGCATTGAATTTGAGTTGTTTTTTTGGTTATTAGAGGTTTTCCTTCCTCAGAATTTTGTTGATAGAGTGGCTGAAATATTAAAAGTACATTGGTTTTTAATTCTGTTAGAGTTTAGATAGCAACTAGGACAAGGGCTACTTGTTATAAGTAGAGTTGGATAATAATCTGTATGTAAGTAGTCAATATTATGTATCCAATATGTAATAGAAATAGTATTGAGTTGTGAGTTGAATAAACGAGCTTTGCCAATAGTTATTAAGTTGTTATCCTTAATAGTAATTAGCCATAGTTTTGGTTTATTCTTGTTGTAGTGTCCAGTAGTAAAGCTGAAATAGTTGTTAGATATGAGTGGTAGTTGTTGTATAATTTTTCTATTAAGAGAGTTTTCAGTTAAGGGTAGAGGGTAATAAATTAAAATTATATATAAACTTAATGGTAAAATTTTATTATATTTAATTTTATAAAAAATTATATTAAGTAAACTAATATTAATTTATAAGAAAAGTTTGTAAAGCAGATCTTT